AAACCACACACACACACACACACACACACACACACACACAAATACCTAAGAGGCTTCTCCATAAAGAAATGAGCATTTAATACACACAGAAAGGAAGGAAGGAAGAAAGAAAGAAAGAAAGAAAGAAAGAAAGAAAGAAAGAAAGGCAGGCCGGCCTAAGAGGGGCTTTTCCGTAAAGAAATGAGCATTTAACTTACACACATACACATACGTGGCCAGGCACTCAGCAAGGTCTTGCTTAGCTGCGTTGCCTCCTGGTGGAAATGCAAGTATATTCAGTCTCTCTCCCTCCTTGCACGAGCTAGCAAGAAGGCTCAGAGGGTAAGGTGCTGATAATCTAGGTTCAAATTCCCTGAGACCCACTTGGTGAAAGGAGAGAACCAACTAATCCAAGTTGTCCTCTGAGCTGTACTCACACTCAGCAACACACACACACACACACACACACACACACACACACACACACACACACACACACACACACATCCCACACCAAATAAACCAACAAAAATTACCAAAAACAAAATTAGAGAGTATTGCATGATGGGACTCCACTAAAACTTCATTATTTCCCATGGAGGCCCCATGTCTAAACAATGTGGCCAGATTAAGTTTCTACCCTCTTGATCCTGTTAACCCAACACGTTGGGCTTAAAGTCCCTACATGAGTCCGGGAAGGGCTGGGATGCAGAGCCCAAGGGTTTGGACCTTGACGTTTTCAAATTCATCGCTTTAGGATGGGCTTAAAGCAACGCGGGGATTTGGATGCTTACTAAGAGCTGTCTTTACTGAGCACTGGCTGCGGTCCAGGCGCTAGGAGTAGATGAGATTTACAGTGCAGAGTTTCCCTCGTGGCTTTTCCATCCATAACGATCAATTCTCGGACGCAATCCAGGAGAGAGTCCCTAAGGAGTCACGGTATTTCTTTGAGAATGCAATGTGTCAAGGTAAATTATGGGCTGAGGCAAAGGGAGACGATGTGTTAGCGGAGAATGGAGAGACTGGGGGCTGCTAGGCGGCTCAACAGTTAAGAGTACTTTCTTCTCTTCCCTTTCTCCTGTATCCACAAATAAAATCACCAATGCCTGTAACTCCAGCACGCAGTAACCCTCAGTGCGTGCTCATGAATATAGACACGCACGCGCGCGCGCACACACACACACACACACACACACACACACACACACACACACAAATAAATAGGGAGAAAATGGTGAATGCTGCCTGGAAACTGAGCTTATTGGCTTTGAGAACTGGATGGTGTCATCGGCACCAGCTCTTTGGTGGAGAAGCTGTTGTAGACAAGTGTCCCCTCAAGAGCATCTCAGTACGCTGAAGGTGGAATGTGTTACACAAATGTGTGCACGCGTGCAAAGTGTGTAGAGCCGGGGCATGTGTGTAGGTCAAGAGGGAATTTCTCACGGGGCTTCTAGAAAGTGTTCGTCTCAGCCAGCAGTCATGAATTCTTGCTTTTGTTTGTTTATTTATCCCTTTACTTTTGGGGTATGCATACATGCAGTGCCCGTGGAGATCAGAAGAGGGCGTCAGAACTCCGGAGCTGGAGCTACAGGCAGTTGTGAGCCATTATGTGGGTTGTGGGGCCTGCATTCAGTTTCTCGGATGAGTAGTAATTACTTTTAACGGCAAAGCCATCTCTCTAGCCCCGAGCTCGCTCTCTCTCTCTCTCTCTCTCTCTCTCTCTCTCTCTCTCTCT